GCCCTTACTGAATCGTCCTGATATGTTTATGGAGGATTGGTTATAGAGGGGTGAGAAAAAGAGTGATAGATCGTGTGTTGTACCATAGACTGAATGGAGATTGGCCTAAATTCGTACTATGGCACTGTAGCCTAGTGGACGGTGTAAACCCGTAAACTGGTTTTGAGCTTAAACTTTATTGAAAGAATTAATTTGTTGATCCATGATTTCTGGGAAGATTGTGATAATTCATTGTTTTCGTTAGAGCGGATAGAATCCGTTTTGGGGACCTTCAATTTCCATTTCATAGATGAATGCGGATGTATCAACCTATCAGTCTATCAATGTATCATCTCAATCACGTCAGTTCCATAATTCGCACCGTAACGCGTCGCATATCAGCTACGCACTATCCGTTATCCACGCGGAGAGCATTATCATCACTGATATTCGTTCGTTTGACTTGCTTTAGATCAGTGAATTACTCATACCCAATACTTTGACTGAACAGTACAAAAATCCAATTAAACCAATAGCATAACACCTTAGACGGTGCCCAGTGTATGTCCAACCCTCCTTCCTGCTAAACCAGGATATATATCCTTTTCAAAGCCTATTCTTTGAGGATTACGACCGTGGATTTGATTTGAATTTCATCTGTACAATTCAAGCGCCAAAATTTCTCTCATTTACCAATTAATAAAGTATAGACAGAAAGAGAGATTTATTTACTGCAACACTACCCTATAGGTTGTATTCCACTCGAATGTTTGACGAGGTTCGAACGAAATTCAAATTTCCATTTGACCGTTCCTAGGAACCTAAGTGCTTCATACGGACGGATCAACTGTTTGACATCGATACTATAGAGCACAACCCTTGAGTCATTAAAACTGAAAAAATACGGTCTTTACCAATTCCAACAATAATAATAACAGTCGTATATAGAGCAAATACATCGTGAATTAAAAATTTAGGAAACTGAATAGTTATTTCGACCTGGTTGGGTCTCATCAGCTGCCGTGCGGATCCATCGACCGAACTGGGGATCGATCGATCGTGTAAATGGAAAATAAAAAACGTTTTGATCCTCTGCCCGGTGACCGGGTGAGTAGCATGTCTACGTTCTAGCTGGGAGGTCCCTAGTTCGATCCCCAGTTAGGTCGATGGATTCGCACGGCAGCTGATGAGACCCAACCAGATCGAAACAGCTGTGCAGTGCTTCCTTAGTTTTCAGTTCAGACGAAGAATTTCCCTTCGAAATTAAATCAAATCCCCCAGTACTCACATTATATATAATAACAGTGTTTTTTTATCGCATTTTATTTTTCCCTATTTCGAAAGTGCTGATGTTTTACCCAAAACATTACAATGATTTTTGAAACGCAAGTCCCAGTCAACCGATGACTCTATGACTGATCAAGATGGAACGAAAAACGGTCTTGTTGAGATTTGTCAACACTTGATTATTCATCTATTCGTTCTTTCTACTCCTCCGTGTGTGTGTGTATTCGCCCATAGCTTTCTCACACTTTTCGTCCTCATTCCACTTATTCCACTCCCGAACGAGGCAGTACGACTATACCACGGCGTTGGTTTCTTGTCCATGTACTCCCATTCTGTTAGTTCTTATATTCATTCATTAACGGCTGGTCGACTGATTGAGCATACACACACACACACCGGCAAGTCTACTTCGTATTTGTACCGTAGGATTTGTAACTCCGAGTCGAGGTGACCACATTCACAGGGGGTTAGAATGTTCGATAGAGCGGTGAGGGTAAAAAGATGAAGACACAAAAAAGGACATTTTTGCGATCATCTATCATTTCACAATAGAAATCAGGTATGCGAAAGTGACCGCTAGGTAGTGCAGCGCACTGTTTTTGTCCCGAAATCAGGTCGGACGATTTCTATTGTGTGTTACAGATCGCACTACCAAGCAGTACCTTACTATCACCGAGAGTAAAAGTGCAGTTTGACACATCTGTTTTCTCGTCAAAAAACATTTTTGCGAATTTTTTTTTCAACTCCGGATAATGGATAGTTAAAAGCGTCTGGTCAGTAGCAGACTGGCATTCTAGTCATGATGCGTAAAAGAGCCTACCTAGTGCGGGATCACAGCCAAATTCGACATTTATTTTGATGGGCACACAGAACAATGTGTCTATTACTCAGTTGCCATGGTACCATAAAACATATTTTGGTTGTTGCCCGAAGCGTTTTACCCTGTACTGAAAAAGTTCATGATTACTGCCACTACTACTACTACTACTTCTTGGTTAATCAAAAATGGGTCTTCTGCAATGTCCGAAAACGAGTGTAAGAGAATCCTAGTGGATGGTTAGTTAACTTTTGGACGTTGTCATGGTAACCCTCGTTCAGAAAAGAAATATCATGGGGTTTTCACAAACCCATTGGGCCGTTAACGGTATTGTTTGTTTTACTTGATCTGGGAGTGATACTCACCATTCCTCTCCCTATAGACAGTTTACCTGCAACCAATTCATGGCTTTGTCAGGTTTAACCTAGAGTAGCCAACATTTATGGTGGAACCGACTCAATGGACATTTAGCACAATGTTCGATTGACCGTAACCAGTGCTACTAGGCTTCAATCAATCGGGGCACTCCTCACAGGACGCCCAAAAGTCCGAGTTGGGAGAATTCACATTGTACTCGAAACACCGACTGGCACCAAAGCACATCGGTTTGCCGGGCAACCGGAATCAGAAGCAATGCGTTTTTGTTTCAAACAATATTGTATTTAGAAAAATCATGTTTTTTGTGACAAATAACAGAAAAGACAGACCCCAGATTCATGAAGGCCTATATTTCACCCTAGATCATCTGCAATTAATGTCCAGGGACTTGAAGGGTTGATCCACATAAGGTTCCGCTAGGATAGGATAGATCTGGCGCTGCATCGCACGATAGCGATGCATCCGAACATCGAGGTTGACATGCGGTGAAAGGGCTTGAATATTAGAAAATATGGTCCAAAACAAATCCAAAACAGCGACATCAATCGCTTGAATCTGACTGTCTTTGAGCAAACTGCTCTTTGAATCCCGTTTTGGCACATTTCTGACACGCCAATCTGTTCGGATCGTTTTTTCCTCTGGCAACAATCTTGAAATCAAAACAGTAGACCTAAAAACCGTTCGTTTATAGACCAAAGGTGGGGATTTGACCTTATCTCGCCTATTCCCTCAACACCTCAAAACTAAGATCCCCTAAAGTCACTTTGATTATCATTCGTCGAATTCAATTATTAAATATGGAATAAAAAAAATTACAAATACAGGCTCTCTTAAAATCTCTCACCTGATTATTTCAAAAGTCCAGATGAATTCATTCACAATAAACGTGATGTGTATTGATAAAAATACAACAACATGAGCCGGATGCAGCATGCTAATGTTTGTCAACATTTAACGTATTTTATTTTGTATCCCAGATGGCGAAATAGATGAGACAGCACATCATACTCATGATATTTTCTGACCTTGACTGTATCACTTTTTTACTCTTCACAAACTATTTGCTATTTATCCAGGTGACCGTAAATGTGGGAAACAACATAGTTGAGATTAGAACAAACACAGTTTGGCGAAACAATTGTTTTTCAGTAATTCCTTCGCAAGCTGTTTACCCTGATGCTGTAACTTAGTTAAACCAATCAAATGACAAATACGAGTTGACTAGGACAAACTCTTACCCATGATTGATGATATGTCTAACTGTGTGATCTGTTTTTTTTTTAATGTTACCTATGTATTTTGTAAACGGCTTGAGAAAGAAATGACTGAAAACCAATTGTTTCGCCAAACTGTGTTGGTTCTAAATGCTATGATTGGAATCTCTCTGATATTTGAGTTTCGTTATTGTGGGCATTTAAAATGATACACAAAACCCGTTTCATAAAAGGCCTGTACACACACACAGACATCAGAATAGCCGTTTCTGGTTTGTCCTGACATTACCTTCAACGAAAGTTGGTCATTTGTATGTTGCTTGGCGGGAAAAACATCGTGTATCGAATATTGGTTTCGGGTGTGTGGGTTTACAACTGATCCCGTGCATAGTGACTCGTACAAACAAATAGAGTGATGTTTTATTTTGGCAAATTTAATTTATTCCATCTTTTCACATTTTAGTAGTGCATCTCTGTTCGAGCATGTCTCGCCAAAAATTCAATTCCCTACACACGCACACAGTGCTGATCAGGGATTATTCTCTGAATGAATTCGTGATGATGAACACTGCTGGCTGAAATAACACACAGAATTTCATATGCTTGCCATTCGCGCGAATTCTTATTTCAAAGCTGTTGACAATTTTTGTTCGTTGTTCGAATACAGTTGCTCCGTTTTTTCTGTTGTTTGGAGTGTATTACGGTAAATAGTTAACTTGACAGACTGGATTCAGAACCCGAACTGGTCAAATGGTTGGGTATTTATCCACAGATAATTGTCCAGACTGCTGAATCACGTGTCGAAATATGGTGTATAAAGGCCAAATATAAAAAAAACAGTCTGATTAGCTGCCATGTGGTTAACTGAGCAGTTTGCTTACATTCTAACTATGCGGTTCCGGGTTCGATCCCCATAGCTGGGTCGATGGATTTTCACGGCAGCTGATGAGACCCAATCAGGTCAAAATAACTGAACAGTGCATCCTGACTTATCAGTTCATGCTTCATTTGTTCTGTACACGACGAAAAGCACTATATAGACAATTCGTTCCCTATCTCAAAAAGGGTTGACCTTGCGAATACAAATATCATTTTGGGATCCGTTGCACCGTTATGAACGATGACATACTGCGCCGTATGGTACTACTGGAATAGATTGGAGCTGGACCACAGTGCAATGGATTTGGAGTGTTTTTAATAATTTCAACTTTCGTATGCGTCATTTTTCAAATAGTTTATCGTTTGTATCTACCCAATTTCACCTTTTTTCCTTCCTTCCCGCTCTCCATCAATTAATGATCCCGTCGTACTCTGCCTGTTTACAGTGCTGTAATTGAACACCCTTCACCGGCACGTGGTGGTACAGGAGCACCGAAATCCGGCACGTCCGGGGTGAATAACAGCTACAATCGGGATGCGGATCACATTGAGCGACAACCACTCGCACCGGGCTATCGAGACAATCGGTTGTAGATCGAGCTGAACAGAACAAGTAAAAGAACATTAACAAGAGACCGGCGTAGTAGTTGATGGGGTGTGTTGTGCGCGCGTGTGCAAGTGTGCGTACATGTGAGGAGAAAGAGCCAATCCAAGCAAGCTGATCCAGATGAGTGTGAAGATTCACTTGCCCTCGTCAAACCGCTTTTTATCCGTCCATCTATCTGTCCATGCATCCACCAATCCATTCATTCATTCATTCATTCATTCGTTCGTTTATATTTCACTCCCGAAAGGCTGAGAAACAAAGCGAGTCAATCCTTGCAGATTCCCAATATAAACTACTCTACCATCAGGATCCTATGCTAACTCCTTTCGTTTCTCGACCCACATCCATCCATCAATTCACCCCAATCCTCATCATTCTCTGTTCGATAGAGGATAAAATACCACGTTTAGAACAATATTGCGACCAAAAAATACATGCTATCAATATCAATAGTAATAAATACAACATCATCAACAACAACAACTACTACTATTAGTAGTACTGGTATCATTCATGTTCATATATAGCGTGTATAACAAAACAGTTTTTCCAAGCCAGTACACAAATATCTGTTTCTTCTCCTGTGTGCTACCTTTATTGTCACTCTTCATTCGGATACGATGGATGGATGGATGGATGGATGAGGTATAACACTGTTGCCATTTTGTCAAGCTGTCTTCTCCCCTCTCTCTCTCTACCGGCCTCACACTCACCCCTTCCCCTGACCCATGTACACCCACCGTTTCTCATTCACTTGCTGGATCATTTACTCTGTGAACGCGTTTCTAATGTGAAGGACGCGTGCAGCTACACCCTCCCCCGTTTCCCAGCTATCCTGCATGGCGGTTCTATTTTCCCATCGTTTATACAAAATTCAGTGTGTTTAGCTAATTTACGATTGCGGCAACCGTCCCAAGCTGTAAAGACAGGGGACTGATTCCCCAATTCGCTCATTTCTATCTATAGGGTTATTTAATATGCACATAGCCACGTGCATGCGTACAACCATACCCTATCCCACCCTATCCATCAAACTGACACAAGTGATCTCGACCAGTCAATAAATGCAAACACACATCTGTTTGTAATTTATTGCAGGTGAAGCGTTCATGTGCTCCTGTTTGAGTAAGCCGTGCTCAAACCGGCCCGTGATTCCGGCGCACAAAGCAAATTACAGATTGTCACGTGTTCGTTGCCCCAACCCGTATTTTTCCATACTGTCTGATTCAGTTTCTTATTCGACAGGTCAATTTTATCTTTGTCGCAAAGCAACGCAAACAGACCTGAAAGGTGCTTGGTTTCCGGTTCATCTGCTCACTCTCTCTCTTTCTCTCTCTCTCTCTCTCTCTGTCGTAAGCTGAAAGTCATTGTGGCCGCTGATAACAAACAGCTCGTGTGAAAACGATGCGTTCTAATATCCGTGTGCTTACCCAACCTCCACCGGTCCATTGCAATTCCTTTTTTGTTTCCTATCCCAAATCATTTCCTTGAACACCTGTCAGATCCGTTCATAATCCGGAAAGCAGTTTCGCTCATTTATTGTTCTCATCCGTTTCTGGAAAACTGTTATCACCTGGGCTGTCCGTTCGTCTTCTACTTAGTTATCCA